CTTGCTTGGTCGTGGTGCAACCTCTGCAAGGGGTTGATCCTGGTTTGGTGGCAAAGCTGCCCTGGAGAGAGGGAAACATTTCTTGAGAGCTTGTTAGTGCTGTCCAGCACATGATTTGTGGCAGGCATCGCCCTCTCCTTGCACACTGGCGTGCAGAGGTGCTTGTCCAGGACAGGATGTCCAGTTATTGAGGTGTCATTGTTATTGTTGGTGATGATAAAATGCCTGTGGAGGGAGGTGAGTGTAGCAGTGACTCAGATCCTGCTGTTAACAGTTCTTGTGCTGTAAAAAGGCAGGACAAGAGCTCCTGTGTGACTCCTGCTCACCAGTGTGGGGTCAGGGAGTTCCCTTGTGGGTTGGTTTATAAAGCATTAAGTCTTCCAATCCTTACAGCAGTTGGATTTCTCCTGGTTGTTACTTGTGTGCACATACAATCGGTGCAAATCGCAGAGTTGGTTTTCCAAGGCGCAGAAAAGGTCACTGTTGTGTCCCCCATCTGTGCTTGTCCCTGGACCTCGCTCGTGTGAACTTTCCTTGTTCACTCGACTTTCCTGGGGTGTTTGGGAAGGGCACTCGGGGTTGCAAGTGGAACACACCCACTGCCTCTGAAAGGATTGGAAAATCTCCCTGGCTGCTGGAGAGGACTTGCTGAAATGGCTGAGTATTTTACTGATTTCTATAGTGACTGTTGCCTTGGCAGCAAAGCTTAGAGAGTAAAAGGAAGGCGTGATTCGATTTGGGAGGACTTTGGTTGTCTTCAGGTGAGTTTCAAAGTGTTTTAGGAGGAGTTTGGAGATGGACAAACTGGTTTGGAGGTCTTTTTTTTTTTTCCTGGCTGCTGAATGTGGTTTTCTCTTGTCAGTAGTTAATTGCAAGACTTAATGCTTTCTGCTTGCAAGAAGACCCCAGACCTGGGTTTTGTCCTTAGCACAGGAAAGACAAAGACATCTTGGAGCTGATCCAGAGGAGGCCACGGAGATGCTCTGAGGGCTGGAGCCTCTCTGCTCTGGAGCCAGGCTGGGGGAGCTGGGAGTGCTCACCTGGGGAAGAGAAGGATCCAGAGAGACCTGAGAGCCCCTTTAAGGGCCTAAAGGGGCTCCAGGAGAGCTGGAAAGGAACTTAGGACAAGGGATTGAGGGACAGGACACAGGGAGTGGCTTCCCACTGCCAGAGGGCAGGGATAGGTGGGATAGTGGGATTGAATTTCTATCTGTGAGGGTGGGCAGGCCCTGGCACAGGTTGCCCAGAGAAGCTGTGGCTGCCCCTGGATCCCTGGAAGTGTCCAAGGCCGGGTTGGATAGGGCTTGGAGCAACCTGAGCTGGTGGAAGGTGTCCCTGCCCATGGCAGGGAGTTGGAATAAGATGATCTCTAAGGTCCCTTCCACCCCAAACCCATTCCATGATTGGAAGTGTGGAGGTGTAACCAGCTGATGATTTTGTGGCTGATTATCTTGTCCTTTAACCAATGAGTTGGTCACTCCCACACTCAGTACTTGTGCCCAACAGCATCTCTGCAAAGCAGTGCAGGAGAGAACAGGTCTTGATAGCCAAGGCTGTAGTGGTGCCCTCTGAAATACTTGTTCCACCTGCCGGGGTGTCTGTGGTCACAGCGTTGGAACCACACACATGTGGATTGAAGTGGTTGGTGGTGGCAATTACTCCCCATGTTTTCAGTTATCACTTCGGTGTTTGCTGGGAACAGGGGGAAAAGGTCATGTAAACACGAGGAGGTGGGGCCTGGAGGCCTTGCCGAGGTTGTTTCATCCTGCTGGGTCTTGTACCGAGTGTTTTGAGATACCGGTTTTACGCGGCATCACTGTCAGAGTGCTGTTGGCATTATGGTGGTAATCCCGTTGTTATTTATAATTCCTTAATGAGCCATCTCTGCTGCAGATGGAGGGAGTGTTTCAGTGGCCTGGCCCAGCCTAAAGAGCTCATGTGAGACTGGGGAGCCTTCTGTTTGCCCATCCTTGTGGGATGGAGCTGAGCCCATGGACGTGGCCTGGCAGCAGCTGACGCTGGTCCCCACCTTTTGTGGAGAGGATGAGACCTTTTGTGGGAACAAGGGGGTCAGTGAGGGTTGTTACTCTCCTGTACAGTTTCTGCAAAGCTTACCTGATGAAGCTTTCACAGATACACCACAGGGAATGAGGCATTTCTAATGTGACAAGCTGGAAGGTGTTAGTAAAGAAGCTTTTTTGCCTATTTCTCTTCCCTTAGACAGGCTGTGAAACAGGGGCTTGAAGGGTAGGTGATGTTAGAAATTCCAGTTGGTTTTCCTCATTTTAACTCTCAATGAAACCAGCTCCATGGCCTGTGTCCTTAGCAGAGTATTGTGTTTCCTCTGAGCCTTCCTCCCATGAGTATCAGTTACTCTGCTTTTCCAGGAGGTGCTTGATAGTGATTTACACGCTGGTGGTGTGAGAGCAGCGGGCTGGGATTGTACCTGCACTTGCTCCCAGAAATGTCAGCCGTGAGGACTGAACTTTTCTGCTCAGCAGCTCCCTGGTGAACCCCACACCATCCTCTTCCATCCATCCAGGCCGAGGTGGGCTGGATGTCGGTGCCTCTGCGTGTGCAACGTGGGATTTCTTGTTTTTAAAACCAGCTAAGACTCTTAGGAGATAGATTTGTGTTTCATAATCCACAAAGTCACAGAAATTGCAGTCAAGCAGTCTTTATTCTCCTGCGTGGTACCTTAAATAACATCGCTGGGGGTGAGTTTAAAGCACAGTCCCCAAGTGCCACATCCACACATCTTTTAACGCCACCAGGGCTGGACAAGCCTTTCAGTGAAGAATTTTTTCCTGTTATCCAGTCTAAACCTTTCCTGGCTGTTGAGATGTAGTTTGAAGGTTGGCTACAGGCTCCTAAACAGTGATGAATGCAGCCCTTGATCCTGTATCTTTTGGGACTGTGAGTCCTTAAGAATGTTGTCAGGGAGCGGACAGAAAGCCGGTGTGTGGGGAGGATAATGGTTCAGGGTTTGCCTGGAAACTGGGATTCGGTCACTCCAGCGATTGGAATCTGAAAAAGTTTAATATTGCTCCCCCTCGTGGTGTACACGGGGTGCTGTGACAGCCCCAAAGCCAGGCTGGATTTGTACCACAGAACTTGGAGAGGCAGCGATGTCCCCGTGGAACAGCACAGGAAGCTGAGGCCCTGCTGCAGACCAAGAGCCCAGGTGTTGTAACAGCATTAAAAAAATAAATAACTCGGGCTTTAGCAGCATTGTAAGGCATCATCCTTGGAAACAAGAAGCCCATGGAGAAGTCTGTTAGGATTAATTGGGAATTTTTGTGCCCTGGGACACCACGAGTACAGTGAGCACACAGAGATGGGCAGGTGGAGAGCTGAGCTGCTCTCCTTCAGTGCCAGCCTTGTAGGAGCTTCTAATGTGGGTTACCATGCATAATTCAGCCCTGTTTCCATGTTCAGAGCTCTGTAACTAAACACTGATTTGCTAAACACAACCTGAATAATGAAGCAATCTGTGGCTGAAAGCCTTCCTTGGTACTGAGGGAAATAAATAGAGCTGTATCTTCTGTTTTAAAACAACACAGATATTCACAAGGTGGAAGAGTCATCTTCATCTCTCTTGTTTGCTTCGTGGATTTAAACATGTCCAGGCCAGGGAGAGGTGCCCTGTTCAAAGTACTGCCAGTCCTTCCTCCAAAGCTCTTTCTTTTCTCAACCATCATGGTTCATTCCAGGGAAAAGCAGATTGAAAACTGCACCCTGCGTTTCCTGCTGAGTTTAGAAGGGAACAGGTCAGAAAATACATTGGTGTGCAGTTGTGACTATGTTTGTGCAGGAGTAAAGCTCTGTATCTCTTCTGAACCACTTTACCTCCAATCTTGCCAGTAGGGTAAATTATTTTGGTTTTTCTCAGTCGCAGCTTTGCTCCCTGCAATCAAACACGAGCACTTGGTAGCCTGCAAGAGGCTAAAAATATTCCTGAAGCTGATAAAGGCTTGATGTGACTTTTCAAAATACTTTTTTTTTTCCCCATGCTGTTGCTTTCTTTCTCACATGTAGTCTATGGGATGGCAGGTTGGAGACAGGGGGTTCACTGGTTTCTTCTCTTTGCTCTGGGGAGGACCAGTTTTTGTTGGTTGGTTGAATAAATACCTCAGACCTGGGGTTTTGCTGCCACGGGACCACAGCCTCTTTTGCTGCTTGTGCCTCAAAAATTCGGGAAGTAGCATTTGGTTCCTTTTTTTAGCTGATAGAAAACAATTCATTGTAGCAGTATACCATGGAAACAGTAAAATTTACCTCAAAGAGCTGCTAAACACCTGCAAACCTAAATGCTTTATTTTTAGGCTAATCTGTTTGGACATGGGATTTTCCTGCTGGTGTTTTGGCCAAGAGAGTAGATCCTTGCATCCTTTTTGGATGTTGGTGACCTGGTACATCAGATATGGCACCTGGAAGCATTCAAGGCCAGGTTGGACGAGGCTTGGGGCAAACCTGGTCTGGTGGAAGGTGTCCCTGCCCATGGCAGGGGGTGGGAATGAGATGGTCTGTAAGGTCCTTTCCAGCCCAAACCGTTCTGGGATTCTGTGGGTTTTGCCTTGCAGAACAAAAACCAGCCTTCATATTCAATCACTAGTGCAAAACATTGCACTACGGTACCAGTCTGTGAGGGGGAGAAAAGGCTTCTGGCACGAATAATACTGAACATTCCTTCTGTAGGTCCTTAAATCCACGAGTATGAGGATTGTGAGAGGAGTTTGGGTGCTGGTCTCATGGACCATACCAGTGGAAAATACAAGAACTACAGGGCAGGCAGGATTCTTCCCACAGCTGCAGAGTGGTGTTAAATCTCTTACGGAATCAGCAGCAAGCCTGGGAAGGACAGTGCTGTGTGTCCAGGGCTGGAGCTCCAATGAGTTGGTCTTTTCCATGCGGAATGTTGGGTGTTCTTCTGCGGGAATTTTGTCTTTGTCGCTGAACTGCTGTCCTAACGAGTGGGTTTGGGTGTCTCTCCTCCCCAGGAAGAAGAATGCCAACACGAATATGAAGTGAAGGGACTCCTATGCTGTGCCACGGCGCCCGGATGCTCCTGTCAGCGGATCAGAGACGGGCACCCGCCTCAGGCCACACCGCTTCCCGGGACACCATGAAGCCGAGGAGGAGCTTCCCAGCGCGCCGGAGCGGCAGGGAGTGCTGCCCTGTTTGAGATCCATGCCAGACGGCGCCCCGGCTGCCCGGCGAGATGAAAGAGGTGGTGCTGTGGTCGCCCGAGGAGGTGACCAGCTGGCTGACGGAGAATGCGGTGCCCGAGTACTGCGAGCCCCTGAGGAGCTTCACCGGGCGCGACCTCATCAACCTGACGGAGGAGGACTTCAAGAGGACGCCTCTCTCCCGGGTGTCTTCCGACAGCGGCCAGCGGCTTTTGCACATGATTGAGACTCTGAAAATGGCTCACCACATGGAGGCTCACAAGAACGGCCACGTCAACGGGCACGTCCGCGGCGGCAGCGGCGGCGAGAACGGCTTCGGCGGCAAGGCCAAGCTCAACGGGGTGCCAAACGGGTTCAAGAAGGAGATGATCAAGATCCCCATGCCAGAGCCGGAGCGCTCACAGTACCCCATGGAGTGGGGCAAGACTTTCCTGGCTTTTATTTATGCACTTTCTTGTTTCGTCTTCACCACAGTGACTATCTCAGTCGTTCACGAACGAGTGCCTCCCAAGGAGGTGCAGCCTCCCCTTCCAGATGCATTTTTTGATCGCTTTGATCGGGTGCAATGGGCTTTTTCTATTTGTGAAATCAACGGCATGATCCTTGTAGGACTGTGGTTTGTTCAGTGGCTGCTCTTAAAGTACAAGTAAGTAAAGCCTTTAGAAAACTGAGTGCTCCTGGTAGCTTTTGGAGGACAGGTGTTGGTTTACATCCAGGTGAAGTGAAGCTTCTTGTGATCTTCTTATTTGGGTTTCGGAAACTGAAATAGGTACCATGCAGCGTGAGCTGCTTGAGCGAGAGATAGAAGTTCAGTCCAACTGTTCCCTGAGAAACTAAACAATACCCCTGTTTGTGTTTGTCTGCACAATCAACTGGAGCCCTTTTTGTGTGTGAAAAGCCCAGGAACTGGATGAAATGATCATCTGAACTCAGTTGGTTGTTCTGTTTGTTTAGAAGGAGCACAGCTCACACTGTTGTGAGGGCAGCTGCGAACCAGGATCCAAGGGAAGGGCTGGAGCTGTGTCAGGGCAGGGTCAGGTTGGATCCCAGGGAAAGGTTCTTCCCCCAGAGGGTGGTTGGGCACTGAACAGGCTCCCCAGGGCAGTGGGCACAGCCCCAAGGCTGCCAGAGCTCTGGGAGCATTTGGACAACGCTCTGAGGGACAGGGTGGGATTGTTGGGGTGCCTGTGCAGGGCCAGAAGTTTAACTTGATTACAGGATGGATCCCTTCCAGCTGTATATATTCTGTGATTTAGTGTCCCTGTGCTTTGCCTGATCCAAAGCCCTGCCCTAGAGCTCCTGCACAAAAGCAGCAGGCAGGGGATTAGCCTGTGCACCTGAAGATTGCTGCGGGGGGAAAAAAGCATTGAAATGCGTTCTCTTCTGGCCGTTGGGTGGGGCAGGTGATGTCAGACACAGGGCATGTCCAAAAGCTGATCATAAAATAAGCAAAAGATCTGCAGTGAATTTGGAAGCTCCCAGTGCTTGTCCCAGTGTTCTGCTCACGGTTGCAAGAGTGAATTTGCCTTCCAGTGGAATTAACCTGCCACCTCCCCTCCTCAGAGAGCACGTGGATGTTTAATGCAAGGTATTTATAGAGCTGGAAACGCACACCTTGGGCTGCCTGACCACGAGTGTCTGATGTCAAACCCTGTGCTAAATGAAGTGTTCAAAGTCAGGCAGTTTAAGCAGGCCAGGTTGGAACAACAGATTACTCTCACACTTCCCTAAGCTAAAATATACCAAATCCAGCTAAATCGAGTGGGTCTGTGGGGAATTTTAATTGAAAAGAGAAGTTCAATGCTCAATAAAATGCTACCACTTCTTCAATCTCTCAAAAAAGGTGCTGCTCAGTCTTTAATCCCCAATCCCCCTGTTTGCCTTTATGGTTATAAAGAAAAAAGCAGGTTCAAGTAATAAAAGCCAGGCAGAAGTGTGAGACCTTCACTGGATCACTCTTCCAGGAGAAAAATTCTGCAGAGGAAGAAAAACCTGTCCCCAATGGCTTGGTGCCTTCCACGCTAAATTTCGGTCTGTGGAGTTACATTAATAAGTGTCGTTTTTAACTCCACTCTTTGTCCATGTTTACATCAGAGGAGAGAAGAAAAAATGTGGAATGCTGTGTTGGAGCAGTGAGCACTCCAGTGCAAAATGTGTTTACCCTGTAAGAGTTGATGCTTTCCTGATAAATCAAGGCACTCAAGTTGTTATTAATCTGGCACTGCAGAGTCATCCTCCTCCAAGAATGGAGCTCTCCAGTTTAATAACTCTGCCAAAAGCTATTAAAAATTAAAAAGGTGGCCAATTTTGAGTTTTGAAAGAGCTCAGCTTGATAGGAATGTTATTTTTTTTAAAAGTGAACACAGTAGCAACAAAGGAATTGCAGTACCTGAGGGGAACCTCCAAGAAAGGTGCAGAGAGACTATTTCCAAGGGCCTGGAGGGACAGGACAAGGGGGAATGGCTTCCCCCTGCCAGAGGGCAGGGTTAGAGGGGATATTGGGAAGGAATTGTTCCCTGTGAGGGTTGCCCAGAGAAGCTGTGGCTGCCCCTGGATCCCTGGAAGTGTCCAAGGTTGGGTTGGAGCTACCTGGGCTAGTGGAAGGTGTCCCTGGCCGTGGCAGGGGGTGGAACAAGATGAGCTTTAACATCCCTGCCAGCCCAAACCATCCTGTGATTCCACGAATGCCAGAAGTTGCAGGTTGAGATGATCATAACTGCAAATAATGATCTAAAATCAACCGAAACCGACAGGGTCTGTAACCAGCAGAGCACAAAGGGTGGTTTAACTGCTGTAACTGAATTTGCCCTTGATTTCTGCAGTCCTGGCAGTGATGTCTCTTTAGGGTTTGTAGCAGTTGCTCCTGTCCTGGTGGATGTGCCAGAAGGGCTTTAATTGTTGTAGCTCTTTTCCTTGAGGTTTTCTTAGCTGTTACCCTGTGGTGAAACCCAACAGGGCAGTTTTGGGGCTGGCTGTCCCTCCTGAGCCCGAGCTGCCTCGCTTTACCTCGTGTGCTCTTGCTGCTTTTGCAGAACCACCTCACTGTACCCCAGAACTGCATCTGCCCTCTCTGCATCCACCAGGGATTCGCTGGCAGCTCTCAGGAATAAATGTCTTTGCAGCTGTGGCTGCTTGCCTGGAGAGTGGCTTCCCCTGCAGACACCCTGTGCTGTGGCCAGGGCAGCTCTGCAGTTGCAGTTTGGAGGTTTCCCTGCTGATGTGAGTTGCTTCCTTTATAACGCTGCTCAGGAACGGTGTGTTCTCACTCCTTCAGGTTATCCAAGCTGAAACAAACTTCCTCCTTTTCACCTTGGAATGAAAATACTGTAACTTTATCCCTTGCCTTGAATAGGAAATTAGTGACAGCCCCCAGCTAATGGAGGGGTTTGGGGCACGAAATCCCCTTTTAATGTCTTCAGCACCCAATCTGCACAGGCCTTTGTGTTCTAATCCTTAGATTTCCTGTAATCACCTCCATGGGTCATGTTACATGAGTTGCTCTTGTGTTCCTGACCTGGAAAGCGTGGGAATGTTTGTGGAGCAGTTCAGTATTCTCAGGTGTAAGCGGATACCATCACGAGTTCTAAAAGCATCAGAAGAAAACAGTTGGTGGTTTGTTTTATTTACCTTTTGCGTGTTTTGTTTGCCTTGAGTGACCTCCTTATTTTTATCCTCTGTTTTTTTTCCCCCTCTCCCAGGTCTATAATTAGCAGAAGATTTTTCTGTATAGTTGGCACACTGTACCTGTACCGGTGTATTACGATGTACGTGACCACGCTCCCAGTACCTGGAATGCATTTCAAGTGTTCTCCAAAGGTAAAACTGCTTCTGGCTGCCTTCCCATGTTTTTAATCTGCATGTTTCCCCCTTGGCCTGCTCTTAATCAAAACTACCAGCAACACTTTGTCAAGAGTTGTTTCTGAGGGTGGGGAGGCCCTGGCACAGGTTGCCCAGCGGAGCTGTGGCTGCCCCTGAACCCCTGGAAGTGTCCAAGGCCAGGCTGGATAGGGCTTGGAGCAACCTGGGCTAGTGGAAGTTGTCCCTGATCTTTAAGGTGCGTTCCAACCCAAACCAGTTCCGTGATTCTAATTTGAGAACACTGGTTTGGTGTGACAGGGACGTCCTTCCGCAGATAATTGGCTTCCCTTCTCGGTGGAGGTGCTGACCGGTGCTTTGGGGCAGTGCAGTCGTTCCCACCCTTTTCAAAACGCTGATTTACACCATTTCTGTGGCATTTTCATCTAATTTGCACGGTCAGCAATTTTCTGTCTCCACCAAAGCAGTTGAAGGTGTGCAACCTGCAGATGTGCCACGTGTGACTCATTTATTTCAAGCCACCTCAGCGTGTCGAATCCAAATATCATTTGTGCTTGAAAATGGCCCCAAGAGGCTTTTCTGAGGCTAGTAGAACTCTGTCCCCTGTATATATTTTTGCAGCTGTGGTAGCACAAGGGCTTGTCACCTCCTCCCCACATGAGCACTGACTCCTGTTTGTTGTGCCAAGGAATAAACTGGGCTTGCAAAAGCCGTGGATGAAACCAGGCTACTGGGACAGAGGTGCTTGGACAAGCCCCTTGTGGTCAGCCTGGAGGGTAATTCACCTGCTTTGGGTGGAGATGGGACAGGGTTGTTGCATCCGTCTCATGTCACCCAAAATATCTTAGTGTGCACAGCCGTAAATTAAGTGACAGGTAGTGAAATCCCCGCTGTGACTCGGGGCGCGTGCTGCCGTTGCTTGGGTGAGGATTGGCAGGTACAAACAAAGCTGAACTGCTTCAGTTCCTCAGGGAAATCAAGCCAGTGAATGTACCAACACCAGTACTTTGCCAAGGCAGGATGTTTGCCAAGCCCCGTGTGGCCTTTAGAGGGGCTTTTGGAAAGAGAAGAGAGCGGGAGAGGAGTCAACACTTTGTTTGATCAGTCATCTGTTATGAAATTAAAAAAAATAACACAGGTACTTATAGGCTGAAGTGAATAAATCTGCCACTTTTGGGAATTTACAGCGTTGGCAAATCCTTCTCATTACTCAAGTAGAGACAAGCTCGTGCTGTGCTCCTCTATTGCCCCAATCAGATTAATGATTAGCTGGGTTTTCTGGAAAGCTATAAATGCACTGGTGGGAAAAGAATAACTTCTCAGCACCTTATTGAGTTATATACAATTCTGAAGAGTGGGCTTTGGGGAGCATTTTAATGTTTGTAATGAACAGTTAGCAGGAAATGTTTAATTCCTACAAAGAACCTGCTGAAGTCTGTCAGAAACTCTTTAATTGCCACTTCTTGGAGTTGGGCACTGTGCTCTGATAGACACCACACATGTTTCTGTCAGACTGTGAAATGGAAAGAGATAACTCTGAAGACTTTTCCGAGGTGGCCTTAGGGTTTGGAGTGAGACACTCTTCATCAAATCTTGGTTTTGGCAGCTGGATGTACAGTTCGTGCTGGTTTCTGTTGGATTATCGTCAGTTAGGGCATTGGCTCTTGGACAGAAGGAAAACCTCACATGAACGCCAGCTATAATAGGTGCAAAGCATCAATCAACTCTTGTCTCATTTCCAGTCTTTTTCCCCCCTAGAAATGTGCTGCCAGGTTTGGGGATTTATTTGCTGATTGAACTTGCGGATCAAAGCAAAGAGAGAGAAGGAGAGAAGAACCGAAAGGCAGAGTCGCTGGCTGAACCCTTTGCTTTAAACTCTGACAGGTTAAAGCTGATATTTTACTGTGCTTTTGTGTTTTCCTCTTCCCCCAGCTTTTTGGAGACTGGGAATCTCACCTGCGAAGGATAATGAAATTGATCGCTGGCGGAGGATTGTCCATCACGGGATCCCACAACATGTGCGGCGACTACCTGTACAGCGGCCACACCGTCATCCTCACCCTCACATACCTGTTCATCAAAGAGTGTGAGTTCCTGGCTGTTCACAGGGAGTTCCCTGGTGTAGAATTTCCTTCCTGATTGAGGGAATCACTGTTGTGCTCGTTGGTAAACGCAGTTAAAGTTAAATTTTAAGTGCTTCTTCCATGGTGAGAGGAAATGGCCTTCAGGTTGTGGTGGGTGGGGTTAGGCTGGATATTAGGGAAACACTTAACCAAAAGGGTTTGGGTTGGCTTTTAGTTGGAACTAAAGCTCATCTCGATCCACCCCTGCCATGGGCAGGGACACCTTCCACTAGCCCAGGTTGCTCCAAGCCCCATCCAGCCTGGCCTTGGACGCTTCCAGGGATCCAGGGGCAGCCACAGCTTCTCTGGGCAACCTGTGCCAGGGCTTTCATCACCCTCACAGGGAACAATTTCTTCCCAGTATCTCATCTGAACACAAATTGATTAATCTGATTGGCCAGGGGGTACATTGTATCTTCTTCAAAGATTTCATAACCTCTGCATTTTCCAAGGATCTCCTTACCCCTGACCGCAATTTTAAGTTACACCTTAGGAGAATGGGACTTATTTTGTGATCTCAGCATTCCTGCTCCTAATCTTCCTGCTGGATTGCAGTCCATGACCTCTGCTAACGACAGCAATAGCCTTGATAAGGCTACACTTTGAAATAACCACTGCTTGTGCTTCTCTCCAGATTCCCCGCGGCGACTCTGGTGGTATCACTGGCTTTGCTGGGCGCTCAGCATGGTTGGGATGTTCTGCATCCTCCTTGCTCATGACCACTACACTGTGGACGTGGTGGTGGCTTACTACATCACTACAAGACTCTTCTGGTGGTACCACACAATGGCCAACCAGCAAGTGAGTTCCTTCCTCTCCTGGGATCCGCGGGGCTCCGCTTGCGGTTGGGTGGTGACGGGGAAACATCCAGGAGGAGCGAACCCACCCGTGTCCTGTGGAGAGTCCCTCTCCATCCCCTGCCATTGGGTTTGCAGGAAAAATAGTCATCACAGCTGGGTTTTCTTTGTGTTCTGGGGCTTGTGCCCTGCAGTTCGATGACAGGTCTCTGGAGGAACTGTATGAGGGCCTCACTAAAAATGAACCAGTTTTTTTTAAGTGTGTCCAAGTGGTGGGAAGTTCTCCTGGCCAAGGGAAATGTTTTCCTTTTGGAGGGCAGTGCAGCTGCTCCTGTCCTAAGGCCCATGTCTGGGAAAATGGGGTGATGAGGGAAATGCTGAGAACAAGGAGCTGTTTAGGAGGAGACACAGCACTTGATGATTATACTCAGTCAGAGAGGAGCTGTAAAAGATTGATCAAAGGTTGAATAAAGAAGTTTAAATTATGTCTCATGTTATTCCCATTGGTTTTCCCCTGCCAGTGAACTGGAGCAGTAAGAGAGGAGCAAGCTTGCAGTGCTGAGGAATATGACACCTCCCCTGCTGTGTCAAGGGAGGATCTCAGGAAAAGGTTCTTCCCCCAGAGGGTGGTTGGGCACTGAGCAGGCTCCCCAGGTCACAGTACCAAGGCTGCCAGAGCTCTGGTAGCACTTGGGACATAGTGGGATTATTGGGGTGTCCTGTCCAGGGCCAGGAGTTGGACTGGATGATCCCTGTGGGTCCCATTCAGCTCAGGATTCTGGTTCTATGAGAGAAGGTGCCCAAATCTTTGCCACAGGTAACAGACATAGTGAGTTAAGAGAAACTTTTAGGTCCCCTACAGCATATTGGTGTCCAGATATTTTCTGTGCACTGGGTGAAAGATTTTTTTCGTTGTCTGTGGCACATGCCTGCAGTTAATTATGTTTAAGAAAGACCTACTGTGATGATAGGAAATGAGTTAATAGTGTGACAGTCCAGGTTTTTAGACTGTATCATAGAATTATTATAGAATGGCCTGGGTTGGAAGAGACCTTCAAGATCATGTGGTTCCAGCTCCCCTGAAGGCCTTCCAGCTACAACTCATTGTACCTCTGGTTTTGAAGCAGTACACCAAGCCCTGTGCTATGTTCTTACCCCAAAATGCCAAACTGCAGATTAGGTGCACTTGGATGTTCAGTCTGGGAGCCACTGTGTCCGATAGCAGCCTGTGCCCAGATTCTCTAACTCCTGTCATGCAGCACCAGATGGGTTTCCATGCCTTGAATCTGCTCCTGGGCTCTGCTAAAACAGGTGCTGGCTGGCTGTGCTTCCAAGCTGGAAGTGCTGGGGTCAGGATTGCCCCGAGTCCTAATGAGGACTTGCTTCAGCAAAGCCCTTTGCCTTACTGTGTGCAAACCTACCTGTTTTGCTGCCTGATGTGATTCAGGAGGTGGCTCAACATTGCTTCCCTAAGCTGCCGAGGTGTTGGGAAATGCCAGTCCCTGGATCCTTTCCTGAGCACACCTTTTTGTGCTCATCTCTTTCCTTCCTTATGCTGCTCCATGTGCAGAGGGCTTTGGCTTGTGTCTGACCCTAAAGTTAAAAGCAAAAGTGGCTTTATTTCACGTGTGAGCTTGACATGGAGGTGTAAAGCTGAGTGTACAAGCCCTGTGCTTGCACTTTGCTGTGGGCAGATTCAGTGATTCCTGGCTCTGGTGTTGAGAACATGCAGCAGGGTGGTTGGACAGCTCCCTGGGGGCCTGCCCACTCCTTGTGTCTCAGCTGGGGCTTGCTTGTGGCTAAGAGAAGGGAAAGGGTGGGTGGGAGCAGTCTGGGAGCACGTGGAGGACAGGGCAGGGCTCCTGACCTCCTCCGGGTGGGTTGAGGTGTGCCTTGCTCATCATTCCATAAGTTCCAAAGCCATTCTATGTGGAATTTCAGAGATACTTAGGGTAACAACTGTGCTTAGGGTTGGGTTTTCCATTCCCAAGGCAGAGGAGAGACTGATCTTTGGGCCGTTCATTTTTTTTGTCCCTGCGGGCCCGTCGAACAACTGAGGTCTTGGAAACACTGGCGAGCCTCACTTGAGTGTGTGCAGGGAGGCTGTCGGAAGAGTAGCTTGGCTTCTCCTGATCTTTGTGTCTGTGCAGATCTGTCTGGGAGGTGTTTTTGGGTGTGTTGGAGGCAGCAGTGAGCGGGATGGGAGCGACGAAGCCGCACGCGTAAGCGTTTTGCGGTTCCTTTGTAACTCTCCCCTTCCCGATTCTCTCCGCGCAGGTGCTAAAAGAAGCTTCCCAAACAAACCTCCTCGCAAGGGTCTGGTGGTACAAGCCCTTCCAGTACTTCGAAAAGAATGTCCAAGGAATTGTACCTCGCTCCTACCACTGGCCCTTGCCCTGGCCGGCGCTGCAGCGGGGCCGGCCGGTGAAGTACAGCCGCCTGGTGAGCGACACGTAACGGCGCGTCCTCGGCCACCCCGGGGGGGAAAGGACCTGTCCCAAGTGCTCACAACTCCCTACGAGAAGATGCCATAAAAACAAACAAACAAGCAAACAAAAAAAAAAAATCAACTGCTCCCTATAACCCTTTCTTTTAACAGCTCCCTCGACTTGACCTTTTCAGTTACCTGGTAAGCACTGTGATCTTTTTTTTCTCTCCAAAGGATCTCTGCGTTGGACAACAATAAAGAAAAATTTAACTTATCATGCACTGTTACACATTTCTTGTTGATAGATTTGGGATTTACATTTACCCATCACCGTGTTCCTTTGTATATGATGCGACAACATAAATGAAAGCTTTTATATCATAAGTTCTGGTCTTTCCAGTCACGTCTGGGAACAAAGCATATTATTTTCTTGGGAAAACATACTTTTCATATCTCTTGCCCCAAAGATTGGGCTGTAAGCCATTTTCTAGCAAATGACTATATGAAGGTTTCTAAATACCTGCCTTGGGTGAAATCAAGAAATCTTTCTACCTGTTGCACCGCGCTATGAATAAGATGATAGACACAGAAAGGTTTGGTAATCCTGATTTTGTAGAGCCTGCAGTGACTGACTGTGTCAAAAAGTGCAAAAAAAAAAAAAAAGGAAAAAAAAAGAGAGAAAAAATGTAAAGTGATTTTCTAAGTATTTCCTAACTTTATTTTTCAAAACGTGTATGGAAAAAAAAAAATTAAATTTAAAAAGATTTTTACATGTCAGAGAATAGAGAGTTAAAATTTAAAGAAAATGCTTCTTGGGAGAGAGAGATTTGTCTATGTTTCTAGTGCCTTTCTTGTCTTGATTGTATGGTCAGTAGGCAGTCTTAAATGTTTTTATTTAAAATAAAGTATTCCATGAAAGCAGAATTATATATACTATATAATTACTAATTTTTGCATTTATAGCTAAATTAAACTGGAAATTTGCTTATAATGTTGAAATTGCCATGTGTAGGGAAAAAAAACCACCCCACCAAATAAAAAGGGTCCGATCTTGTTCACACATTGTGGGCAGGTCAAGCTGAAAAGTATCACTTTATTCTTGGTAGCTGGATTTTAACAAGCAAAACAGCCATGAATTCCTGTTTTTTAAGAATTTTACAAATGATCACTGAGTGAACTACGAATGGTTTCCTCCATCCCCTATTGAAATGTTGTTGAAAAACAACAAAGATAATCTATTTCTTTAAAATATTTGTGCAGAAACTGCATGTAATTCTAAGTTTCACTCCTACCATACATACTGTATGTTTGGGGAAGTATCCTATCCTAAACTTGCCAATGTGCAGAACAAAAATATTTTTTTTTTTTAAAAAGAATGAAGAAGAGAAAAATATATATATAAATATATATATATATCCATTCTGTATTTTACGTGAAGCAGAGTTATCTTCTGTAGGTTTTTTGTGTATTCACAAGGTGATATTTGTATTGTAAAACAACAATGGTGAAGGAAAATAAAAAGGCTTTTGAAACGTGTAGTTTCCTTTATCTTTTTAATGTTAAGTTGAAATTTAAAGCTGGGTTTATTCTTCCAAACCTTGCCTTTAAGTTGATGTTATTGCACTGTAGGCCATCCGATTTGGACTGTATGGAAACTGCATTGATTTCGAACTGCTGTCGGGCAAAAACAGTGCCTTATCTGAAATAAATGCTATGCAATCGATTCCGATCGTGCGGGAGCCGGGAGCGGGTTGGGAGAAGCCTTCCTGGGAGCCATCACCAGGCCTTGAAAAATCTACCCCAAAACTGCTGGGACGGAGCACACGGCAGGGTGAGCGTCCACCCCCACCTCCCAGGATCTGTCAGTCCTGGCTTTTAAACGCCAAAAAAAGACAAGGAAAAGCAAATTTCTGTGATTAGGTGGTGGTGAAAGTGTCTTTTTTTTTTTTTCTTTTTTTTTTTTTCTGGGGGGGAAAGATGGTTTATCTTGACCTCTGTGCCCTGTTCCTCATCCTTGGCCAAAAACTTCCTGGAGGAGCTGATGGTTGTTGCTTGGGATGCTAAACAAAACCTGTTCCTTATCAGTTCTCTGTCTCCCTGGGGCTGGGAGGGAGGGGGTTTCTTGGCCAAACCCTTTGCCAACAGCGTTTGTCAGAGCTGCCTGAGAATTTAGGGCTCAGCTCTGCGTGCTTTGCTTTCAATTCACAGCTTTTTGTCTTGGCAACTCTGGGGTTAAAAGTCATTTTTCAAAACCCATTTTGAGGTGATTTTTTTTTTTTTTTTTTTTTTTGAGAGAGAGAGAGAGAGAGAATTCACGCTCCCAGACTGACGAGTAGGTTTTTCAAGGCCTGGCATCACGCACATCCAAACCATTGACATAAGTAAATGTATGGATATATATATGCACATGACATTAAATGGAATCTGCTGAACCCCGCGTTGTAGTGTGTGACTTACTGCATGGATCCCGCTCGGCGTGGTCCCGTCTGTCCCACGGCGGAGCTGTGCTTTGGTGTGTGCAGGGCGTGGAATTTCCCACTTCAGCTGCCTTTAATTTTCCCCCAAAACCTCTCAGGTGCGGCCCATCTACAGTGATTCATGCCTGGTGTGTCCTTGCCCCAAAGCATGAGAGGTTTCTTTTTTTTTTTTGCTGACAGCTCTGCTCAAAAACATTATCTCCTGCCATCAGGATCCCTGGTGCCGGTAAAAAAGGACTTTGACCTTTCTTTATTTAGTAAACAGCGTTGTGTAGGAGGCCTTGTGATGGCTGTGGGGGCTGTCAGGATTCTGTGGCCTGTGGGTTGCTGTGCAAGCTGTGTGGTCCATGAGGGGGTTTTGGGGGAATTACAGGAATTTGGGGGCTGTGGGGTCTGTGAGGGCTGTGGGGTCTGTGAGAGTTGTGGAGTCTGCAGGGGCTCTGAGGTCTGTGAGGACCCTGAGATGTGTGAGGGTTATGGTGTTTGTGAGGGCTGTGGGGTCTCTGAGGATTGTGGGGTCTGTAAGGGTTGTCAGGGTTATGGGGGCTGTGGGGTCTCTGAGAGAGCTGTTGGGGCTGAAAAGGTTTTGGGGGCTGAGAGGACTGTGGAGGCTTAAAAGGTTTTGTGGGCTGTGAGGGCTATGGGGTCTGTGAGAGTTGTGGGGTCCATGAGGGTTATAAGGTCTGTGAGGATTCTTGAGATTTGTGAGGGCTATGGGTGCTGTGAGAGTTGTGGGGTCCATGAGGGCTATAAGATCTGTGAGGGCTGAGAGGGGCTCTTGGGACTTAGAGAGTTATGAGGGCTGTGGGGTCTGTGAGGGCTCTGGGGCCCCTCACGCGCAGGATCCTGGGCACTGAGGATCATTCCTGGGTAGGTATAAGCAACATGCTCCTGGTGAGATGGTGGTGGTTCCTATTTTCTCCTCACAACCTGGTCATGGTTTAGCAAGGAGGCTTGAATCAAGGTTTCTGTCCTCCCAAGGGATGAGTGGGGCTCGTGACACGCCTGACCTCACTTGGAGAATTGCTCGTCATTACAGGTGATCTGCAGTGGCTTCTCAGGAAAAAAGGGATTTGCCCCCCAGAATGCTGAAGGGTTTATGCAGCCAGTTTCAGTGGCTGCAGAAATCCTCCCAGCTCTTCTGTTTTGTTTTGTGGGTTTTTTTGTTTGTTTGTTGTTGTTTGTTTTGGGTTTTGGTTTCCGGTTTTTTGTTTGGGGTTTTGTTGTTTTTGGTGTTTTGTTTTGTTTTCAAAAAAAGGAAATTTCAGTCCCTTCATTACCCATCAGAAGGGTTTTTTGTTTCAGAGATTTTTACAGAGAAGATTGTGGCCTCCTGTGCCTTTTTAAGGGAAGAGTTTGGGTTTCCCCCATCCCAGCTGTGATGGCTTGCACAAAATGAGTTCTCCAAGAGACCGGGAAATGCTGGTTTTAAAGTGAAATGTGGATGCTGGAAGAAAGGGTCACTTTTCTGAAATGATCTGATCTTGCTGTGGAGAAATGAGAAACTGAAAAATAGGGAGCAGAAAGGGAAAGCAAATGCTTCATGGATTTACATTTCAAAGCCAATTACTTTATTTTTTTTTCCTAGAGGATCTTAGATAGAGGTAGTTTGAATCCTCTTTCTTCATGATTTGGAAGCACAGTGTTCTCTCTGTAAGGAAATACACATTTGACAATCTGTGTTTTACTGGTTTCCCTTCTCTCAGCTTTGCTCCTACAGTGGATCCATTGATCCTGAGTGGCTTTAGACGTTTTTTCTTGTTGAAAATGAAAATCCTGTTATGTTTGCAGTCCCTGGTTATGCCTGGGAAGGTCACAGACTGGTGGTGTGTGGCAGCAGTGATGGGTAGAAGCCATTTTTCAGCAGGAAAAATATTTCAGAGAAAACGTGAGTTTCCTTAGTGTCATTTAGCACAAAATGGCTGGGGGGAAGAAGTTGGAGGACTCCTGGCTTTGGGAAAGAGGATGATCTGTGGGAACCTCTCATCTCATGAGAAGGAAACTTGGCATGTTATGATGTCACACCAGCACAGACTGATGTCCAGGGCCAGGCTGTCCAGGCATGGCAGGACAAGGACCTCAAGGAAGTAATTTTCTGGGTCTGCATACATTTAACAACTGTGCCTGCTTTCAAATCCCACATTTCCTCCCACACTCCAACATGGAGTATAATTTCAGGGATGCCCTGAGCCTCCAGCCATGACTGCTGTTGCTTCCCAGGCTCCATTTTTCCTTCCAGCCTGTAGAGTTCTATCTCAGCCATCAGAGGTTAATGAGGAGGTGCATGAGCATCCTGCCCCTGCCAGGACAGCTTTTCCTTGGAGGCTTTATTTTCCAGGCTAGGTGCTCCAGTGTGGCTGCTTTGGGGTAAGCATCGTGCCTCATCCACCCTCTGTAGGGGGGAAAGCAGTTCACATTTCCATAGGCACAGGGATTTACCAAGCCTTTAAGCACTTCACCTGAGGCCTTTGCAGTCCTGGAAGTCCCTTTTCTGCACCCAAAAGCTTGTTGCTTCTGCAGTCCTGAGCCAGGGTGTGTGGACACGGGCACATCACGGGGGGGAGAAGGGGAACTGTGGGTCCCCATAACCTCATGGAGCAGTCTTTTGAAAAGGAAAACAGTTTAAAATATTCCCCCAAACACTTTTTGAGCTGCCATCAAACTTTCCTTTTCCTCCTCCACCCCCACCAGCAGGTGGTTTGTCCTTTCTGGAGTTACAGAGGCCTTTTCCTCAGCTCCCTGCGTTCCGTGGGGTGAGGCTGGCAGGACACACCATCCGTGTGCCAGTTCATTAAAACTCCACTTCCTTGCTTTTCATCCCTGTCCCAGGAACTTTCCTATGACAGCAGAGCAGTTGCTCCATGGTTTTGTCAAATGAGGCTCTTCCCTTAGCTCCAAGGCTAATTTGGGACACAATTTGGGAAGCCCCGGTGACTCAAGGATCCCCAGCAGCACAGTGGTGGCCAGGAGTATCTGTCACCCCACATGGCAGAGCAGGCTGGTTCTCCACCGGTGGCAGGGGCAAGCAGCTTCCCTGGGAATTGCGGGGAGGAGATAAGGTATCAGTAAATCCTGCTTCTCCCAAGCAGCCAGTCCAAAAATCAGCGAGTCAAAGGGCGATCCCGAACATGACCCTGAATTGATGACGCAGGCCGCAGGCCGTGCTCGGCACCAGCTGGAATGTTAACCCTTGGTTTAGGGGTGCACGAAGGAAAAGGGGATGAAAGAGGAAAACTGAAACTCCTGAGATGGGAAGGAAAACGTCAGAGGTGATCCCAGCCTTAAATTCCCAACAAAGTGTGTGGATGCTGGAGGGAGACAGGGGTATGGCTAGTTGGATCTTTCTTCTCCCTTGCTACCACATCTAAGGGATGGGGTGGGTCCTGTAATATTTGGGAGGAGCAAACTGTCCAAACCCTCTGGATTAGGCATGCTTTAGCAGCTGGTGAATTTATCCAGACCCATCTGGGACTTGATGGAAAAGGCTTGGGTTTAACAAATAAAGCTTTTAATAAGTAAAAATACTATTTTATGCTTAAAATACAATCCTGTTCTCAAGTTCTTCTTCTAGCAGAGTTTGGAAACCCTGAGGAGCAGCCTTCTGTGAGGATTAGGAGCCATGGCCAGACTGGGAAGCAGCCATCATTCCCCAGGCTGTGGAATTCCATCAAGCCGTGATGAAGCAAAGAGGAGGAAAAGAGTCCTGTTCCCGAATTCCTCGTGCAGCAGAGCCGATCAGTGCAATCCCAGAAAGGTTATTTTAGAGAGGCAGGTGCTGGCCCTCAGGCAACCTAAACACGCCAGGGAAAAAAAAAAAAATTCTCTCACCTCTTTGTGGGGCAGAAATTACTGATTGGTTTCTTCTTATCTCGTGCAGTGCTTGACTCACGGGGTTATACAGCAACAATTGCCAAGCTCTGCTTTCCAGCTTGGGACGGGTCTGGAGGTGGGAGACGTTCCTCGGGCCGCTGGAACAGGTGAGGGAACTCAGGTAGGTCTGCACGAGGTCCCACTGGGATTCCATAGGAGGAATGCTGATTTCTCTCAGTGTTCTTTGGGTTGAGTCAGTGGGATAATGGACGCTGTCAATGTGTGTCGTGCTGATGGGGTCCAGGCCGGTGCTGTGAGCATCCAAGAGTGGCTGCCAGTGCCACGCTTGGAGAATAAACAAGGGAGGAAGGAAACCTGCAGTGTTAGCTTTGCTACCACTCGAATATCTGCTGTGTGAAATCCAGCCCTGATCACGACTGCTGTGGCTCACCAGGGCAAAAGAAGCTGATAAAGAAAGGTCACCTGGAGCAAGTCTAGGCGACCACTTGGCTGTCTGGGGATGTTGTTTCTCACTGCAGCCTTCCCAAGCCCACAAACCCCCGTTTCAGCAGTTGTTTTCTGCAGGTTCATTGTTTCCAGGGCACATTCCGATGAGGAATAACCTGAGGGCAGGAGCTTTCCCAAGCCCCCTGACAGACTCACCCTAAGGCAAATTGTTACCCCTAGGAGAATCAGAGGCTCTGCCTCACTCTTCCCTTCCTAATCACAGAATCACCACAGACTCACAGGCTGGTTTGGGTTGGGAGGGACCTTAAAGACCACCTTGTTCCACCCCCTGCCACGGGGGTGGATTTGTGGATTGGGTCACAGGCAGAGCGATGGGATCAGCAATAAATTCTATCTGCTAAGATATCTATGGAAACATCCAAAGCTGTTTTAAAGGTTAATTTCTACCTCACACAGGTGTTTACAGGAAAGGCAAAAGGCACACCTTAGCTCCAAGTGTCACTTCCCACTGGGCAAGACTGAATTTTTGGGTGAAATTTTGAGCTGCCAGAGCAGGACAAGTCAGAGAGGGAAACAGCATATTTTTCCCATAGCTGTAGTTTGCATCATTTTTCTTGTGGATCTTTGACCCAAAATAAACCTCTGTTTTTAACCCAAAATAAACCTCCCTTCTTTATAGAAGAAGGAAGAAAAATATCCCAAAGCAAGCTTTTTTATATGCTGAAGAAATCCAGCATCTACACAGGGGCTCTTATCTTGGAAAGCTGTCACAGCCAGCACTTTTTCCAGCCAGGAGAGATTTGCACTTGGACCTGCAATGGGCTGTGCTCTTCTCATGCTGAGGTTCCTAAACTGACCTTTATTATGGTGACAATATCGTTCTTTGACATGCTCTGGGCATGTGAGCAACTGAAAAGCTGTGAGGCTTCAGGCTGCAGCACCTCCTTCAGGCACTCAGTGAATGTGGGGTCTGGTGGAGGATCGTGGAGTTGATTTGAAAGATTCCTTGGGAAGGGCGAGCAAAGTGCTCTGGGAAACGTGGGGTCAGTGATTTGGGTGCTCACCCTGTCCTATCAAGCCTCGTGACAGGGAGTGATTGCTGCTCCCAGGAGATATATTTCTGCTGCCTTAAGCAGATTGAAAAGCCAATCTCCCCTTCCCATCCTTATCTCTGCTGCTCTGACACTGGGATGGGGGACACAAACCCTCAGCAGCTCTTGGAGGGCGCGCTGTGCCCAGCACTGGGGCTGTCCCATCTGTCCCTCTCTGCTCTCACAGGGCTCCCACCATGTCTGGGAAGAGGTCCAAGTGCTCCTTCTCCCGCCTGGAGGTGATCCTCATCGTCTGCCTGGTGCTGATGATCACGTTGACCGTGGTGCTGCTCGTCCTCCACTTCCTCACCAAAGACAGCGATGGCAAGTGGAAGCTCTTTCAGCCCCACCATCACACGCTGCTCCAGTGTATTGTGTCCAGTGCAGCCACTTCAATTAAAGAGACACAGTCAGAGGGTCACTGCTGAGCCTTCACCATCACCTCTGTGCATGGGCCTTTTGCCCAACCTCTGCAGCAGGAGCAGGGTGGTCAATCCCAGCAGGAGCACCTGCAGGGCTGCACAGCCCTGGGCACGGTGGGGCTGCAGGGACCCACACATCCTCCCTTTCCTGGCCCTACACAGCCCCTCCCTCCTGGCACTGCCCCAAGGGGTTTCGCAGCTCCTGCAATCCCATCACGGCCCATTCACGTTTCCAACCCCCTCGCCAGGTGCTGGGAGCTGCCCCGAGTCAACTCTGCCCCTGGGCTGGGCATCACCCCACGTGCCATCAGTGGGACCTTCCAATTTCTAGATTTTGATCTCAAACTGGATGCAGTTCACACTTCCTTTGTGGTTTTAGGTGGTAACACGTGAGAGTTTTGCACAAGTGATTCTCCTCTGTGTTACAGCGGGAGGAGGGGGAGGAAGGGTAGTTTTAATGGGTGGCGTGGTTCACTGATGATGATTTAAATCACAGAAATGGCCAGTCTGTGGCCAGTGTGAGGGTTTCACTTCTCTGGTTTCAGTGACAGCCTAGGAAAGGCCAGACTGGGAAGACCAAGCATCCCCTTATCCCAGTGTCCTGCCTTGAGAGGCAGCAGCTGCCTGGGGAAGGCTGTGAGAACAGAAACATTCAATATTTTCCCCCAGTATTTATCTCAGTCTCCAGTGATCTGTGGCTCTGAGATTTCCTGAGATGCAGATAACCTTTTTAATTTATTATTATTATTATTATTATTGTTTCATAACCCTCAATGGCTTTTCTCCCATGACTTTATCCATCCTGTAAGGATTTCTGCACCTTCATGATGGCTGGGGTGAGACACAACCTCCTTTGGGAGTACTTTGCCTCGTGCCTGGTCCACCCTTTACCCCCCCAAATGCCTCAACAGCCTCAGCACTCCTGGACCACATCGACAGCCCATTGGAAAACCCAAGCAGAGGACTCAGCTAGACCCCCTTGTCCAGGGGTCTGCTGAGTCCTCTGGGGATGTTGAGCAGGTTTCAGTGTGGATTCTCGTGAGCAAAGCTGGGCTGCCTCTTTTTATCTCCAAACCTGCTCCCTCGTGTGTCCACTGATCCACCGATTATTGTTCTTACAGATTCCATCAACGTATTGGAAACAGCAAACTACTTACTGGGCGTAGGTCGAGCTGACTGCACAGGACCAGTGGCACAAGTTCCCCTGGTAAGCTGGGGGGATCGAACATGGGGGCTGGCAAAGTACTGATTGTTCATCATCTAATGGGATTTTTTGCAGGATTTCTGGTTCAGAGCCTCGACAAGCGCGCGTCGTCCGCAAACATTCAGTGACGTTTCTCTCAGGCTTGGGGCAACCTGGTCTAGTGCGAGGTGTCCCTGTGGCACGGGGGTTGGAATGAGATGGGCTTTGAGGTCCCTCCCCACCCAAACCATTCAGATGATTCTTGCAATCACAGGGCAGGACAGGGTTGCAGCTCTGAGTGTTTGTGTTGGACGAGCCCCCCCTGACGCTCTGGCAAACCCACCCGGGGAAGTTCACGCGGATGAACACGTCACTCAGTGTCTTGGCTGCGTGGACGTGACGGAGCTCTTCCCTTCCAGATGGGATATGCCAACCCGGAGCAGGTGGCTGGTGGGCTTCTCACCCGCCTCTACAGCCGGGCCTTCATCGTGGCGGACCGCGATGACTCCCGGCGGGTGGTGTTCGTCAGCGCCGACATAGGAATGGTGTCCCAGAGAGTGAGGCTGGAGGTACGTGGCTGGAAAGGAGTGGCTGCCACAGGGTGGGCTGTTGCTGGTGTTTGCATGAGGGTTGTAGTTTCCATAGTGTGTTAATAGCTTACATATGTGTTAATAGTCATAGCTAAGTAACATTGAGCTCGGCAGCGTATCGGCCCTTCACTTTGGCGTTTGGAGGAGGATGAATGGTTGGTGTTTTTTTTTTTTGCAAGGGCTGGCACAAATCTCTATAGATTTTAGGCATGGAAAAGGGCTTTTTAGGACCACCTCCTTCCTCGTAGGTGCTCGAGAGGCTGAAGAGCAAGTACGGTGACCGGTACCGACAGGACAACGTCATCCTCAGCGGCACCCACACGCACTCGGGGCCCGGGGGGTACTTCCAGTACACCCTCTTCTGGATCACGAGCAAAGGGCTCATCAGACCGTCCCTCAACTCTATCGTGAATGGCATCGTGAAGGTCGGTGTCACCTGGTTTGGCTTGTCTGTGACTAACAGAGCTCTGGCTGTGGTGGTTGTGGCAGCACCTCTGAATGCACTTGGAGATGGGTTTATGTTTGCCAGAGAAACCAGATCAAAAAGCCATGAAATTCTTTCTTTAGAGACAATTGTGAGTAGCTTCAAAATATTACCATAGTTTTTTAGAATTTTAGACTGCTTAAGGAAAAAAAAAAAATCAAAGAAGCACCCCCAAACTCCCAAGTAAGGGTTGGGGACAGATAGGAAGGGTAAAAAAGAGAGAGGTTTTTCTGGATAATCTCATGCATGCCTTACAGACATGGACTAATATTCCCTGTCTTCCTGCTTTCCAGAGCATAGACATAGCACATGAGAACATGAAGAGAGGAAGGCTTTTTATAAACAGAGGCACTGTGGAAAACAGCCAGATCAACCGAAGCCCTTTCTCCTACCTTGCCAATCCAGCATCCGAGCGGAGCAGGTAAAAGCTCCTCAAGCAGGAGGGAAACAGAGCCCTGAAGGGAATCCTTCAGCTGGGACCATCTTGCAGTTGGTGTTTCTGGTCTTTCGTGGGAAGGTTGAAAATGTGGGGTCAAGATGTGGCAGAATGACGGTGCTGCCGTCCTGGGCTCCTGATTGTGTCCCCCATTTTGCATTTGGAGAGAGCTGCTCTCTCCGTCCCCTGGAGAAGCAGCACCTGAGGAAAACCATAACCCTTCCCTTCCCTTCACAGCTGTTTTCAGATGCTTCTCTAAGGCCTCACTGTGCTCTGGTAATACGTGGAATAACCTTTTAATTTCCTTGTCTAGCCCAGTGGAGCTATAACATGTTAGAGCCATGAGTGTGACTACAGCTCTGGTGCTAATGAGATTTCCCTGCTTTGTTCTCCTTTAGGTATTCATCCAACACAGATAAAGAAATGGTGATTCTGAAGATGGTGGATGAGGATGGACAAGATCTAGGCCTTATCAGGTACTGTCCACTAAATTAGCAAGTTTTCCTTCATATCCTCGTTCTTTTTGTAAGAATGGTGTTCCTTTTTTCCCCCCTTTTTTACATTGTTGACTCCTCCTTTTTTCTTTGATGTAAGAAAATAAAAAACCCCTTCAGAACATAATTCTCTGGATTAGTAAAAGAGTCAGTCTAGGTCTGAACTGCCAAATTCTTGTGGCCTCAAGACCTGGACCGTCACAGCCATGCACCCTGGAGAGGATGGGAATACTCTGCCCTTGTTAATCCATCCCTAAGTAGCTGGGGTCTGTGTTTGTATTCCTCCCAAAGAAAATTCCATAGGTCAACTGCAAACATATAGATTGAACAGATCAACTGCCAGCACACACAGCCTGAACAACGAGTGTCTTGTGACTTCCCCCTCAGCTGGTTTGCTGTGCACCCCGTCAGCATGAACAACACAAACCATCTCGTGAACAGCGACAACGTGGGCTACGCGTCCTACCTGTTCGAGCAGGACAGGAACAAGGGAATGCTTCCTGGAGAGGTGGGAGTGCTTCCAGGCTGCTGGAAACAGCGGGTGGAAAAGGGCTGCAGCACGGAGAGGGGGTAGTTGGTGCTTTGCAAGGACCAAAGCAGGTTCTTTCAAACAGTGGGACAGACAGAAAAAGGAGGGCAACACTGAGCTCTCGTGATTTAGTTACTTTCTTCCTCCAGAAAAGAGATGGAAGATGTTTTCTTGACTTTCCAAACTAGGAATCAGTGGTATTTATTTAGACTTAAGTAATAAACCACATTTGTTTTGATTAGACTACTGGAAATTGGAGAGGTTGTGGCTCTCCCACTCCTGCCAGAGTTCAAAGCTGGGTTGGATGGGGCACTGAAAAACCTGGTCTAGTTGAAGATGTCCCTGCCCATGGCAGGGGGGTTCGAACTGGATGAGCTTCAGCTCCAACCCAACCTGTTCCAGGATTCTTTACTAGCAAGACATGTGTGGGATCCTTGATCCAGAGGGATCCATTTATTGCATCTGTGGGGTGGCATCAAGCCTGTGCTCAGCCCCACTTCTTTCTCATGGCTTCCAGCCACTTCTGCCTTGTGATTTGCTTTTACCCAGAAGATTTGCCATCCTCAGAATGCAAACACAGCTCCTTTAAAAACCATTGTTTCCCCTGAAATGTGACTGTGGACACGAGCCCATCTCAGAGGTACTTTGAGTCATGAATTGATTAAGAGGCTGTCCTGGGTGTATCTCCAGCATGTACCTAGGAAGCTGTTGCTCAGTTTCTCTTTTAATACTCCGGGAACACGTGTGGTTCACAGCAAAAAATGGAAATTAGAGGAAGTCTGCCTAATTCCTGCTTGCAACTATTGCTTTTTGTAGTGGATTATCTAAAAAGCTTTTTACAAGACTCAGTTCTAGTGCACTGTTATAGGTGGAAGTTGACATGCTAACAAGTGTTTGCAGGATTCAATAATTGGCTGTATGGTCTGCTGGGCACATTGTATCTAAGAGCCTTACAAGAAAATGAGTTAAGGAATGATAATATATCGAAATAGTTGAGGTTGACATGTCCCAACTCTAAAAAATGGGGGGGGGAAATGAGATATCTGCAAGAGCTTGAATTCAGCCAGTGCTCAGTGTGCAACCAGCTTTGCTTCTGACTTGTACTACTTGATGTTAACTCCTGCAGATCCAGTAGCTCTCACCCTGTAAATCAGCCATGGTGAAAGCCTGGCAGGAAAAAAAATTTCTGTGCAAGGTGGTACAATGATCCCTTGACGTCTGATCAGTAACACGAGAAACTGGGGACATGGAGGGAAGAGCTGCCCCTGAGACTCGAGTAGGAGATGGAGAAACACTGTCTGGATACCAAAGCAGACTGAAGGCCACCCTGAGATGGCAATTGCTTCCTGTGTGTCCGGTTCTCCCTTGCTCTCCCTGCCCCTAACCCTTGGGATATGCCTAAATCCCCTCTCCAGTCCTCCCAGTCACTTGGGAAACGATAAGCAGCGCCACGCGCTCACCACAGCTCCAGGGAAAGCTGCAGGCGGTGTTTGCACCTCACTGCAAGGCTCCCAAGTCCCTCTGACCACCTCTGGGTTTCGGGCAGGGCTCTTTTGTTGCCGCCTTCGCCTCCTCCAACCTGGGAGACGTGTCGCCCAACACCGGAGGCCCGACCTGCGCCAACACGGGCGAGTCGTGCGACAACCCCCAGAGCAGCTGTCCCGTCGGAGGGGTGAGTGTGCCTCGCCTGCTCTGCCTCAGACACCCTTTTTCCCTGGTTGTTCAGCCCAAGTTTCAGGTTGTCTTGCTGGCCTGGGTAGTAACCCAGTGCCTAATTTTGGCACTGGAAGCCGTCGGTTCCCACAGCCCCCTGTGAGCTGTTCCCCTTGGCAGTGCCGCCTGTTCTCCGTGGTAACTGATCGCTGCCTCTTTCCACAAATTTCTCAACAGGCAGCCATGTGCATGGCCAAGGGTCCCGGGAACGATATGTTCGAGAGTACCAGGATTATAGGGCACAATATCTACTCAAAAGCAAAGGTAAGTGATATTTTGCTCTCCAAGTGTGTGTGTGTGAGTGCTTGTTATGACAGGAATGCATGTTCATTTAAACAACTCAGTGATCCCTTCCAGCTCAGGGTATTCTTATATTCTATATTCTGTCTATCTTTTGTGAATGTTTGTAGATGCAAATTACTCCAAAGTCCACATTGATATGCTTAAGGAAAAGTTTCTTGATTTTTAAAATTTTTTTAATGGGTAAATGAGGTTTTATTGATCTTTCTGGTCATCCAGAAGACCTCAGAGCCTGGAATTTGTTAAGTTTAGGACAGTGTATGAAATCATAATGGTAGTGAAAAACTTCTTCTGGTGTAACATATCTGACTAGACACCTAAATTTAGAGCAGAAAGCACACACTGAGATACATCAGCACACGTTCAAATACATTTTGGCAATGTTTCAGGGACAACAGCTTGTGGGACCTGGAATGTGTCCAACAGGGGAGTAAGAGCAGGAGGCTTGGTGGCGGTGGCATCCTTTAATCACCTTTTCAGATCGTTGCCCCGAAGTCACTCCAGGCTGATCGTGACTTGCAAGTGAAAGATTGTCCCAGTCAGAGTGTCCTGGTGTGTATAAAACACAGAGGGGAAACACTGCAGTTGTTGTCAACACCTCAGACTCCTGGCCTTCAAAGGCTGCGCCCTCAATTCCTTCCAGGAAAGTCATTAAACTGTACAACTCCTGGCAGCACTTTCTGTGTCCCAACTCGAGGCACCTGGGGTGGGAAACCAGTCCCTGAAGAGCTGACTGGCTTAGCTGTCAGCTGTGTGCTAAAGACATGGTAAAGTCCAGGCACTTCTGAGCAGTGAATACAGCTCAGAATAAAGTGCTGCTTTCTCGTGGAAAACGCTCCTTCTGGTTGGTCTAAGCTGCAAGAAATGCCAAAAGGTGGCACCCAGGAACAAGGAGCTGCCATCCTTGTGGAATAGGTGCCTGTTTCAGCTGTGAAAGAAAGGCATGGGTAAAACTGCTGACCACAGAGTGTCCTCCCTCCCTGAGACAGGGAGAGCTTGCAAGGCTCAGGTTGAGCACAATAAGGCTCAGGTTGAGCACAATGTAGAGATGGGGTGATGGAAACACCTCGTGAGCTTGAGAAATAGGCCTGGAAGAGGCCATGGGAAGGCATCAACAGAATGAAGAAATAATCCACGTGGCTGTATCCCAGCGGGGCTGGCTCCCTGACTGCTTCTCCCTCAAGGATTTCCACCTTCTGTGTCCCTTAGGAGCTGTATGAAAAGGCTTCCCAGGAGGTCACAGGGCCCCTGAGCTCAGCCCACCAGTGGGTGAACATGAGTGACGTGTCGGTGGAGCTCAACGCCACGCACACGGTGAGAATGGGAGCTGCCTGGACACGGGAACTGTGCAGGGAGAAATGTCACAGCCCTGCAGCAGGACCTGGCACGCTGAGGGGAGCTGGGTTTTATCCCTTTTTCCTTTTTTTTCTCCCTGCCTGATTTAGGTCAAAACGTGTAAACCAGCCTTAGGCCACAGCTTTGCCGCGGGGACGATTGATGGAGCGGGCGCTTTCAACTTCACACAAGGTAATTTGGGGAGCAGGTGCCGAGGTGGCTCTGTACAAATGGGGAGGATGTGGGGCACCCCCCAGACAGATTCAGCTGCTTGTTGAGCCACAGTCTCCAGAGGAATGTTTTTTAGGAAAGTGTGACCTTACAAACCCTTTACAGGTTTGTCTGTGTTGGTCAGAAAGCTTCTGGGGAAGGATACTGGCCATGCCCTGAAGGAAGGAGAGCACTGGATGGGGAGTGGGGAAAAGAAAGACCTGGATTTGGGACACTCTTTCTCATTTGTTCTCGTTGCCTGAAGCCTGCCAAGACGAAGCTCAGCTGAGCTAAAGCTCAGCTTTTCAAACCACCCCAGGAAAGGGAGTTGGTCAGAATCCACTGAGGAATATCCCAGCCCACCTAAGCAGGGAGGGGGTAGTGTCTGTCTGAGAGCTGCTGGGGCAGCTGATGAACAAGATATTTCCCCCTCAAGGCTCAGTAGAAGGTGACCCGTTTTGGGATCAAATCCGGGACCAGCTGCTGGGAGAGCCATCCAATGAAACAAAAGCCTGCCACAAACCCAAGCCCATCCTCTTCAGCACGGGAGAGGTAAGGACACACCGGTGTGTGCCCTGGGAAGTGCAGAGATTGCTGATCTGAGCCGGGATCAGCACTCCTTCACAGACCCACATTTCTGACAGATTCCTTAGGGAGCTGCAGGAGATGTCTGTGCCAGCCCACACAGTGAAGAACACGGAGGGAGAACGAGCTGCATGGGCTTTGAAGGAATGAAAATAGAAAGCAAGAATAAGTGTTGTCATTAGTTTGCATCGGGGTGAGAGAGGTGGAAGTTTTCTTCTCTCAGAGCATCTTTTCCACGTATCTCAGGAGGAGAGACCACACTTCCTGCCCTCATTAGGGCCAAAAAAATCTGATGTCTCTGCTCTCCTGTCACGTTTGTGCAAGTGTCTGATATTTCTGTGAGCTGCAACATGGACTGATGCCAGACTTGCTCATCCATGGGTAGAATCACACCAGGCTCAGGCTGGAAGTGCCCTTGGAGTGAGGTTGCCCAGCATGATCCCGCTCCCAGCAGGACCAACACTGCAGCTGCAGCAGGTTGCTCAGGACCCTGTCCAGAAGAGTTGGGGCAATCAGCAAGGATGGAGAGCCCTCATTGTTTGGGTCCCTATCCCAGGGGTGCCCTGCTCACACAGGGAAGGGTTATTTTTTAGGGCCAGTCTCTGCTGGTTGCTCTGTTGGTCCCAGCCCATCCCCACGCTCAGGGCTGCTCCATCCTGGGCAGGACTTGGTGTTTGTTCTTACTGAGTCCCTCCCAAAATCCTGCTTACAGCTTTAAACGAAAACTGATGCCCCATTTCCCACCTGATGTTCCCTTGGCATTAAGACAAATGCACTGTAGTGGAGCGGGATCATGTCCAAGGTCCTTTAGAGCACTTACAGGATGCCATCTGGATGATTGTTATCCCTTTCACCAGTCTCCTTAAAAGCTTTCCTTCTGTCGCTTTGTGTTCAATCAGCTCCTCACCTCATCTCCCCAAAAAGAGGTCCCAGCTCCTCCCACCCGCCTCCTCCATCTACAACTGTGTCACTGAGAGGAAATTACACTTTTTTTCTTACAACTTCATCACATTTGATGGGTGCTCTGGCAGACCTCCTGCTTCTGATGTGAGGTTTTTGTCATTCATGCTTTGACCCCAGTAAATTGCTCCTCAAAAAAAAAAAAAAAGAAAATCTTTTTGGCTCACTGCAGTGGGATTTTGCATTTCATTTGCTGGAGCTGTGCCAACTTCGAGCTCCTGTTCCTGCTTTCCTTTCCACAGGCTTTTCCATTTCTATCTAACTGGTTTTTTGCCATTGTTTTCAGATGAAATGGTGCTCTGTGTGTGTGTGTTTTGGCTGCTGCAACAATGCTGAGTCTGAGCACGGTCCCTGCTAAAGGGGCAGCTGGGAGTCAGGGTTAGGTTGAGGGTTCCCCCTCTGCGAGACCATGTAGTGACAGGATGAGGGGGAATGGCTTCAAACTGATAGAGAGGAGGTTGAGATTGGAAATTTGGAAGAAATCCTTCCCTGTGAGGGTGGGGAGGCCCTGGCACAGGTTGACCCAGAGAAGCTGTGGCTGCCCCTGGATCCCTGGAAGTGTCCAAGGCCAGGTTGAACGGGGCTTGGAGCAACTTGGGCTAGTGGAAGGTGTCCCTGCATGCCACATGGGATCCCAGGGATGGAATGAGATGGTCTTCAGGGTCTCTTCCAACCCAAACCATTCTGGGATTCTGATGAAGAGGGGACTCCCCTTTCCCATCACCATCAGGATCTCTGACTTCACTCGTTTGCTTTCGCTCTCCTGATCAGATCTTCAACCTTTTCAATCCCAGCTCTATCCTTTTTCTGTGCAGGTGAGGGGTTTATAGGTGCTACCCGACCTTATTTCACCCACTTTGCTTTAAGCTGTCCCCCTGGCAACACCCTGCTTGTTTTTCCAAACAAAGTATTTCCACGTGCCCTGTGTGACTGTGACAGTCAGACAACTTGCTGCGCACGTGGAACTAAAACACCTTCTCGTGTGTTTTACAAATGAATTTAATTTAATTTTCATGACTGGAGGAAGGAAAACACTCCAGCTATCATTTTTTCCCCGCTATCCTGAAGTTGTTGTATCCACTTTTTGTGCCCCTGCAGATGACTTGGCCCCACCCGTGGCACCCGGACGTCGTGGACGTGCAGATCGCCGCCATCGGCTCGCTGGCAATCGTTGCTGTTCCCGGAGAGTTCACGTGGGTATTCCCTCAGGAAAGAGATTTATTTAGTTATTCATTTATTGCAGCCAACAGCATTTCATTCAAACCCCCTGCAATAGTTCAATTGTGGGCAGGCAGAAAGGGAGAGTGAGATAAAAATTGTCCCCAAAATATAGATATAGATATATAAACTCACTGTGGGAATGAACAAGATGTAAACAGGCTTCCCAAATAATTTTAAGTGTTCATTGCAAAATTGCAGTTTCACTGAAGCAAAAGGAACTTGTTAACTCTGATTTGGTTTTTGATAATGAACTGCACTGACTGTTGATGGTACAATGGTGAGAAATGATTTACCCCCAGCACCTTTATTTGTGCCCCCTCCTGGGGTGTCTCCAGCCTCACCCAGGCTGTGATGACGAGTGAGAAATCTTTTGAGGTGCTTTGGTTGAGCTTATCTCAGGGGGTCCTTAAGGGATGCTGAGCAGTGCTGGAGGTGCTGTGGGAGTTTCTGGTGGGGTGCTGCAAATCCAGCCAGCGATTCCCGCTGTAGCTCCCTGCTCTCTGCAACTCCCTGACAGGACAGGGGAGCCGGGGGGGTCGGGCTCTGCTCCTGGGGAACAGGGACAGGAGGAGAGGGAACGGCCTCCAGCTGTGCCAGGGGAGGGTCAGGTTGGACATCAGGAGGAATTTCTCCCTGGAAAGGGTGGTCAGGCCTTGGCAGGGGCTGCCCAGGGAGGTTTGGAGTGCCCAGCCCTGGAGGTGTCCCAGGCAGGCCTGGCTGTGGCACTCAGTGCTCTGGGCTGGGGGACAAGGTGGGCATCGGGCACAGGGGGGATCCATGGGCTGGGAGGGCTTTTCCAGCCTAAATGATTCTGGGATTTTATGGTTTCTGGAGCCTGATGTTGTTCCCTCCACGCCCTAGGACCATGTCTGGCCGCAGGCTGCGGGAAGCTGTTAGAAGTGTAAGCTGCTGAGGAAGAGGTTTCTCCAGAGCGTGGCATGTCTGCAACTCCACATTTCCTGAGCCTTCTGCTTTTGCCCTTGTCTCCTCCTCCCAGCTGGGCTCATGGGTCTCATGTCTCACAGATGCCTCCTTCTCACAGCTGCTTCAGACAGACTTTGCACGTGCCTCCTGACATGCAGGAGAAATGAATATCTCCCCAAAAGATGCAAACCCATCGAGTTTCAATCCATTAGCCAGTACAAGCAGTACATTTAACGTACTGGAATGGGAGGTCACGTGTCCACTTTCCCTTTGGGAAGTGGATATGAGGTGTTAATAAAGGCAAATTGCATTTGCAGGTTTACCTTCCTGAGCATCCAGCCCTCTCCCCACCATAACTTTGTATTCTAGCCTGGTAAATAATCATAATAACAACAGTAACGATAATAATATACTAGCCACCATAACAATAATAACAACATTGTTTCAATAATAATAACAACAATAGCAATAACAACAGTATATTTGTGCATTAAGCAGTTGTTTCAAGGTAAGTGTTTTCTTTCCTTTCTTAGGAATTTGATTCCCATGGGACACCAAGGATGAACGTGGTAATTGCAGGCCTGTGCAATGTCTACACCCACTACATCACCACCTATGAAGAATACCAGGTAAATGTTAAATCTGTGGACTGAACGTGCTTAATCCAGTTCAGCTTTTGGCTGTATGGGGTGATAATTCATGGGAAATTATGTGTGTTTAGAGCACTTTGCCACAAAAACTAAAAGATTTGGAGCAGGAGGGCTGTAAGATGACCATGGAATTGCAGTGCCCCTTGCTGTGGAAAGGCTGACATGGTTTTGAGTCTCCACAGGGCAAAGTAGATGTTGTGCTTTGAAGAGGATGTGGACCATTGCTTGGACTACTTGAGTTTAGAAACCCTAAACTGGGAGGGGAGGTTGGAAGAACTGGGATTGTCCAGCCCAAAAAGTTGAAGCACCATGAGCCTTTAAAAGAATATGATCTTGTGATAACTGGGAGAGCAAACAGGTCCTCCCTGGAGAATGAAGAGTCACCTGAAACTGCAGCAGAAATATTTTGGCAAATTGTTGGGCAGTAAATAAACCCTGATACAGCGCTGATCTTGTCAGTGCAGTAGAATGGGCTGTTTAAACCACTCAAGAGTCCCTCAGAACCTCCTTTTCCCAATTTGTCCTTTGCCAGGTTCAACGATATGAGGCTGCATCGACTATTTATGGGCCACACACCCTCTCTGCCTACATCCAGCTCTACAGAGGACTTGCAAAGGCCATTGCCACGGTAATCAAACTTTTCTGCATGCCAGATGCTGCTGGAGACGCTTAAACCCTATATTTGTTCCTCAGTCAGGCCAAATGATTGCTGCCCTCTCCTCTCTTGAGAAACACTCATGTGATATGAAAATAGTCCCTGTAATGGGGGTCTCATACCACTTGAGAAATTCGAGGGGATTTTCAGTTCAAAGTTTGGGAGATAAGTACCTCCAACCTTTCAGCATGGCCTGAAGTTGCTGCTTTTTTTACTTAAAGGGAAAAAAAAAAATTCTTCTACATTTTGGCTGGCAACCTCCATGATCATTGTGATCATGTGGATGTGCAGGACTGGTGGGCAGTCCTGGGATATCCTGGTGGATGGGTTTGAGGGGACCCCAGCAACAGGGTGCCCTGCAGGGATTGCTCCTGCCTGAAGAGCGTGGGTGAAGATCCTCCAGTTCGGTTTTAGGCTCACTTTATTATTCCTAAAGTCTGTCTGAGTGGGGGTGTGGGATATAGAGCCACAGCAGGGATGTGATTCATCAGGGACACGCTGGTTATGCCTGTGTGTGTCAAACAAGCACATCTTCCTTCTCCCAGAACACCACTCAGGACTTGCCCCGTGGCCCAGAGCCCCCGTTCTTCAACGTAAGCAACCTGACCTTGCTGCCCTCTCTCGGCGTCGAGCGCGCGCCGGCGAACAAGACGTTTGGGGATGTGCTGCAAGAAGTGAGACAACGGTATCGAGAGGTGAGAGCTGCAGGGGTTTGCTAAAACCACCTTTAGGTTCTTACCCCTGTCCCAAAAGGGCTGTGCTCCCCAAAGGGTCGTGGTGCCCTCAGACCAAACGTTTCTGTTGGTGGCCATGGTTGAGAAGGCAGAGAACCGAGTGTTTTCATGCCAGTGTCACAGCACTGAATGTGATTCTAAGGGGTGAATCAAGAGGAAAATAAAAGCTCTTTATTCACCATCGAGTAGATTTCATCCTCTGCTTCAAAATAAAATACCGGTTGATTAAGTAGGCAAATATTGCACAGTGATTTCTCTACAAGGAGAAATCAGGTCACCTTTGATGCCTCTGCTATGGAATGTAAATGAAATGAAATTAAAATGTTGGAAATGGTTCTGTTTTCAATGCTCAAAATTTAGATAAGCTGTTCAGAGCAAGGACTTTCATCTCACTGCTGTCTCCAGCAGTAAGGCAGGGAGGCATTCTGAAGAATCTCACTTGTTTGCTCCCTCCTTTATGTGGAGTTTATCCAGTTTTATGGTGGAGTTTATCCAGCAAGTAGGACAAGCGGAATGGCAAGGCACAGAATTACCACCTCAAAGCATAAATTGTCCATTGCTGCTGCAACAAGTGAAATCATAAATAATTTCAAACAACAGCAAACCAAACACGCCAAGACGGCACAAAAACAACCAACCCCCTAAAAACCTCAAAGGATGTTCTTAATGTGCAGTGTGATAGTACAAATAATACAAATCTCAATTCCCCCCCCACCCAGGGAGAAGTTGCTGAAGTGATTTTCGTGGGAGCAAACCCCCGGAACTCTGCAGAGAACGCGGTAAATATGATGCAGCCACACCAGAATTGGGGATGTTTGGGGATTAGTGAATGTTTAACCAGTGCTTTTTCCTTTGCTGGGGGTTCAGAAGGAGGTGTGTGCTTTGGGAATTCCCACCGCCAGAGTGAGTGCTTTTGGGGCAGAGGACTGAATGTGGCCGTGTTGGGCCGTTCGTGAACTCTTCACACTGTTGAGGTCAGAGTCAGCCACGTCGTGTGTTAGGCCAGATGGCACTCTCAGTGCCATCCAGGCACAGCAAACATGGTCTTTAGTCTCCATCCTATCAGCCTGGTGCATTATTTTAATAAAGCAAAGAAAATTAGGAAAGCACTTCCTTTTGTCCAGTCAGTCCTCTTGCGTAGACACTGCTAGCAAACACCTCACCTGTCTGTTTTCTTTTTAATGGTAAGTTCTTTACCTCATTTATGTGGGATTTGGCAGTGAAACAGAAGTAAGTACCACGTTTGCCAGTGAAGCATGCACCTTAAAGTGACACAGGAGGTCGGGGCATGCCTGTACCTTCAGCATCTGGCTGACTCTGCTGTTTTTATTCCAGACTGAGCACAACTTCCTGACGGTGGAGAGATACATCAACACTTCAGGCTCCTGGCAAGTGGTGCAGAACGACGCCTCCTGGGACACCAGGTGGGTGCCCTAAGCAGATTTCACTGTCCCACAGACCCCTGGGAGTAACTTAAATTTATCCTCAAGGCCTTAACTTCAGAGCTCCCCGGTTTCAGAGTCTTGACCCTGCAGATGGTGCTTCCTGGGGACTGATCAGTCCATATTTGGGTGGTTAACTTGTCAAGACCACAAAAACTGGTGTTCCCCTTGGCTCGGGCATCTGCAACAAAGGCTTAGAAGTTTGGGGAATGTAGAAGGAAGGGCAAGAATTACAGAAGGGTTGGGGTCCAGCTTGTTCATAGCCTGTATCCATCCATCTGGCACACCATGTGGATGAATAGAATGCCAAATGGAGAATAGAAGAGACTCAGAGGATTTTCATCAGGAAAAGCTGTCTGGGTTTGTTGTACATCACAAAGGAGACACAGACAACAATTTAAAAGGTTTGCAAGAAAGAAAAGTTGAGGTTGGGGATGTCAGTTTTCAGCGAAAACACCCACTGAGCAACAAAGGTGGTGTCACCTTGCAGAGCTGCACAGTTTTTCATCCAGTCATGTTTGTAAATATTTATCTCAATCTCAGTAAGATAGGTATGAGAAAAAAAAATTGTTCAAGATGTTCTGTTCAGCTCCTTCCTTTAATTAAGCTCCTGAAATGGGGCTGCTTATCTCGCTTCTAGTGAATGTTCCTTCTCTCTGTTCAGCATTCCCCCTGCACAGGGAGGACTGAGCTGATGAATGTTGCTCACAGAGGTGATGTCATACAAGGGTGGTGACGTGGAGTTGGAAATGGAAGGACACGTGGGTAGAAATATTCTTCACCCACAGAAAGGACCCCTGACTTGTATTCCCATGTTTCCAGCTATTTTTCAGCCCTGCTGGGTTTTGGCTTGGCTAGTTGGCTGCTGCTCTGGTGGCCTAAATACATGAGGAAAGGTCAAAAAAGCTCTTAAAATGTACTTAACTGGAGTGCTTTCATCTCATTCCGCTTAGTGAGCTCTTGAGTCGTTGGAACAGGTGAAGAGTGGGTTTTCCTGCTGACTGCAGGGTTCTTGGCTTGTTTGCTAGGTTATACTGGACCAAAGGATCCCTGAATCAGAGCAATGTGACCATCCAGTGGCACATCCCTCGTGGCACAGAGCTGGGCATCTACCGGATACGCTACTCCGGGCACTACAAGAAAAGGCTGTCCATCATTCGCACCATCACTGTCCCATTCGAAGGCTCATCCTCAGCCTTTGAAGTCACAGCTCCATAGGTGATCTCAGACATTAAAGGAATTGTTTCCCTCCAGCAGCAGGTTTGATATCCTGGGAGTTTCTGTGCAGGGCCGGGAGTTGGACGTGGATGATCCTTGTGGGTCCCTTCCAGCTCAGGATATTCTGTGATTCTGTGATGTTCTGGAAGGGTTTTTTTTTTTTTTGTGGCACACGTGGCTCTGTACATCATTGCTGTCCCTTGAGCGCTGCTGGTCATCCTTTGCTTTGCAAAGCTCAGCTTCCTGCAAAGTTTTGACTCTCAGCTGCAGTTCAGTCTCCTCATGTATTCTCATTCAGGTGGTTCCTGTCCTGGCCAGATCTCGTTGCAGTTGATTCTTACTGTAATAAAAGATGTAACTTTCTCTTCAGTCATTAAACAAGTGCATACTGATGTTGAATAGGATCTTTCTGAGGGAATTAGTGCATATTGGGAGCTACTCCAGACCATAAAATAGTCCATAAAATTGAACCCAGTCCATAAAACTGGTAAGAACTCACAAGGCATCAGAAGAGAAGCCTCCTCAAGCGTGCTTGAAGTTCAAAGCTGACCTGTTAGGACAGCAAAGGGTTAAACAGAGTAGATATTCATCAGGAAGCTTGGAATACAACTTCATTTAATCCTTTGGAGGATTGCAACGGCAGCATGTGAACAGAATTGCCTGTAGCTCTCCATAAATGAGCGGTCCCAGTTTCAGAGGTGCCTGCTGAGAGTGGCTGTGTGGGCTCCTACCTCTGAGGCCTCAAGCGAGGAGAGGAAGTTCAATCACTCACGAAATTTGAAGCAGTTGGTATTTTTTTTTTTTTTCCACTTCTGGACTGTGTTATTCTCTTTCACCAGTGTCACTTCTGAAGTGACCTGCGTGCCGGGTGGGCTTAGCGCTTGCCCACCACGTGTGGGTTCTGTAACTTCAACTTGTTGGTCACCTCTGTGGTGTAATGTTAGGTAGAAGTAGTAGAGATGGAACAAGATCGAGTTTTGTCCATCTCTAAAGGGGGGGGAACTGATGCCTCAGAGCTTTATTTTTAAATTTTGTGTAGATTTTAGAAATAGATGTGAACGTATTTTGGAGGGGAAGGGCTTTCTTTCCTGCTTGGAAATGCATTCATTCGCTTGCAGAACCCCTGCGCTGGAATTGTCAGCCTGAGTTCCAAAACTGAATCCGGACTAAGATCCCTCAGAGGGAAAAGGTGCCAGCAGAGGAAGCTCGGTGTGTGCACGGAGTGCCAGGAGTTCCTCACTGTGGTGACTCAAGGGTACTACAAGGACACAGTTCAGCTCTGTTTGAGCGGGGGCAAACTGAATCCCGAGTTTTTTCATCACACGTAAGCGCTTCAACTTATACTCGGTGGAGGGATATACAGACTGCAGGGCGAGGGGAATGCTTTCCATCGCACAGCTGCACATTTTTCAAACCATTCAAACTCCTCACGAACCCATTTGCAACATGCTTGTTACCATCAGGTAACTGCCCCATCTATAGTCCCTACATGGAACTAACAGAAACAGTGGTTTTGTTCCAGAATTGCTTCTGGTCTCTCTGGTTTCATTTTGGCAGGGTTACAACTTCTTTTTCCTCTCTTGCTAAATCTCCGAGGTAGCCTGCTGAATTCCATGGTTATCTCTGGGGCCCCTCGCTGCACACCTGCTCCTACAGCCCACCAAGTGCACGTGGGAGATGGAGGGTAAGGGCTTTCCTTCTTCCCTGGGTGGGTTTGCTTCTCGCAGCCCTGCGCTGGAATTCTCAGTCCGAGTCCCAAAACTGAATACGGATGAAGATTCCTCCCAGACCAAAGATGCCAGCAGAGGAAGCTCTGTGTGGCCATGGAATGCCAAGAGTGGCCCAGTGTTGGGATCTAAACTCAGCTACCAGCAGAGAAAGAACTGACAGGATTAAGCAGCAAACCGTGGGCGGCCGGGAGGAACTCCTTGATCTGAGAGCCAAAAGCCTCACCACAAGAGATACCACGAAGAATGTACCTGTTAACATTTAACTCTGTTTGATGGCTCTGTCTCCCCTCAGCAAGATATGAAAAGGCTTTGTAGTGACGTTGCAAGACGGTGTAGAAGCCCCTTTTGTTGCTCTCCCTGTGTGGCCCTGTGCTACTGAGCAATCCTAACCAGCTTGTGTCATCTTAGCAGAGAATTGTTTAGTCATTAGTTAACATCACCCATCCTCTAATTAACATCACCCATCCTCTAGTTAACCTAAGGCTGCAGGAGGAAGGCAGAGCAATGTGAAAAATCCCCCCCCACCCCGCCTTGCCTGTGGGTGTGGGTACAGAAGTGGATACAGCTGGAGCAGGAGAGGCTTTGCTGACCCAAAATCTTGGATCTTCCCATGCAACTGGTCCCCTGCTGGGCAGAGGGATGGCTTGGTCCAGAAAACCTTCGCTGGCAGGAGCATCCCTGGCTTCCATCTGCTGTGCCTGTGCTGACTGCTTGGAAGGCTCTTTGAAATTCCTTTCCAAAGCAATTCCTAGTAAGGCTCAGGTGTTACTGACATCACACGGGCAGCCTCTGGACCGAGCCACGCTTCGAAAAAAGCTGATAAATTTGCCAATTTTTGAGTCTTTAGGTAAATGGTGGAGCTAGGGACACAGCAGGAGCGTAGCAAAACATGGATAAGTGCCTGTGACCTCTGCTAAAAGCTTTGGCTGCCTCTACAGCGAGCAAATGCTATTTACCTCCCCACAACCTCAGGCTCTCCCACTAACCCAGCTTGCCATCAGCACAGGGAATGCTTTTAAGCCAGCAGAGAGCTGGAGACCAGCCCAGCAGTTGTGAGACACTTTGTTCCCCAAAACACGGGCCCAGGTGTGGGAGGGGGCACATTTTAGGCACCTCCCTCCATGGTGTGCTGCAAGGAGGCTGTGAGCAAGGCTAGGAGAGGTGGCACCCACAGGCCCAGGCTGAGCTTACCTGTGTCCTTCCCCATCAGCTTCTGAAGATAAGAGGGGTCCCCAGTGCCACTTTATTGAAGATTGTGGGGGGCAAAGACAAACTGGTGGCACTTACATGGAGGGAAGGGCGGGTTAGGAGACGACAACAACACTGCTTTGCTCTCAGGGAGTGTGGAAGCTGCTGTGAAGCCATGCTCATGGAAAATGGGCGCTTCCTGTGGAAACTTCATAGATGTGGTGGTGGTGGTGGTGATTGATGCTGCTGTAATCCCTCAAATAATGCTTTATTTTCCTCTTTCCCGCTTTACTCCCTTTTAAGTGTCTCCTGCAGGCCTCTGGTGCTCACAGTGGTGGTGGGATCGCTGCAGAAATTTACTCGGTCCTTCCCCTTGTGTTTTTAGTGGTCCCTCTTGAAAAGTTGAACCCCAAACCCTACCACGTCACTCCTTAAAATACAGCCCCGCTGCATTCCTCTGGATCTTTGCAGTACTTGTTTAACAATTTACATTGTTAAACACTTGTTTTTATAACTGATTGCAAATTGCATATCACGAAAGTTATCCAACGGGAAATAATTTGAGTTGTATGTAGCTTTTCCGACTGGCTACAGTGACCACACACCACATCCTAATTAACCTTGTGTCACCATTAAGAGCAAAAGTACATAATATTAAACTCCCCGTTTTCAAGTGCTTTGAAAACCCTGCTTGATTATGAGGCTGCAACAGCCAAAATATTTGGGCGAACAAGACTTTTTGGCTTTAAAAGGGGTAGGAAAGACTTTGAGGATTGCAACTGGTGTGGTTGTGGTCAGTGGGTTTCTTGCTGGGCCAGGCTGGACAGGGCCTGAAACAAACCTGGTTGTGGTGGAAGGTGTCCTGACCGTGGCAGGGGGGTGGAACGAGGCGAGCACAAAGGTCCCTTTCAAACCAAACCATTCTGTGATTCTTTGATTCTATGAGATGGGCCAGGGCAGGTGTTTGTCCCCGTGTCACCCTTCCACACGGAATTGGGACTCTGGCTCTCTCTTCAAACACTGCTAACATCTGTTTTCCTATAGAAGGGAAAATACTCACACTCTTGGCCAAGATGGAGTGGGTAGAACAATTTTCTAGGAAAAGATCAGCTTTTTTTTATTCCCATGGGTTTTGGTGCTGGTGTGCCAGAGGGCTTTATCCCAGTCCTGGAGACTTGTTAGCTCGAGCTCAGCCAGTTCCCAGGCTCCCTGCCTGACTCACCAGCCCTGGCCCTGAGCTTTCTCCCCCCAGCTTTTCCTGCAGGGATAACCTCATGGCACAGCTGCTGTGGTTTGCCCAGCTGTGTCCCATTGCAGCTTCACAGCTTTTTTCCCCTCCATCCCTGACGGCTGGGCAGGTTATAACAGCAACCCTGCCCACTGCTGCTCCTTGGATGCTCCACTGCTTACCCACAGTCTGCTCCAGAGTGACTCCAGCGTGCCGTGGCTCCAGGATAGGTGTCCCTGTGCTTTCAGGAAAGCCTTGCAGGTTGATGTGCACGGCCCAGGGCAGCTGCAAGCTCTCCAGCAGGGGCTCGGGATGTGCAGCTGCAGCTCTGCGTGAGGTTTGCTGTTTGACCCAGTTCGGGGCTGGGATTTACCCCCCAGCTTTGGTGAGTTCCAAACCACTTTTTCTTTTGATTTTTCCTGGAGTCTGGGAAGTCACTGGGGCCCAGCAGTGAGGAAATACAATCTTTTAATTACAAATCTGCCGAGGAAGGAGAGAGCAGTGGCTTGATCAGAGTTCTGCCCCGGCGCTTTAGACCCGGCTCCCAGTGAGAGCCGGTGCCTGCCCGCGGTTTAGCCCCTCGCACGCTTTTGTGCTCTCTTTCTCGTGATAGTTTTGTCTCTGGAGCCAGCTGGGATAGACGGGCAGATAATGTTCTATCGCCCCGTTTGACGAGCGGTGTCCGTGCGGTCTCCCGAGGGCTGTGCGAGGCGTCCCGGGAATGGTGTGGCTTGCTGGGGAGAAGAAAACACGGGAAATCGGCTGTGATGGCAAAGGCTGGAGGCCGGGAGAGGATGGCATTGCCACCCAGAACGCAGCTCAGGGCGGTGAAGGGCTGCCAGGGGTCAGCCCTGATCCATCACAAATGTCCCACGCCCCTGTGTGCCGACTGTGGGACACAGGGTGGGATCGGAGAGGAATCCTGGCGTATCCATTGGATTCGGCTGCAGCCACTGGAGGTCACTGCCGCTCCTGGAGAGGCGGCAGGAGCCCTGCTCCAGCTCCTGGCTCTGGGATGCTCTGCCTCTCGCCCCTTGCAAGGTCCCAGGCAGCTGGGGTAGTGGCTGTCCTGGGGGATCTCCAGCAGGAATCAGATCCGGCACCCCACCCCTCCCTGTATATCCCTTTCATGGGATGGAAGGACCGTCTGGGGAGGTTGAGGGAGATGGGGATGTTTATCCTGGAGAAAAGGAGGCTGGGGGGGTGGGGTGGGGTGGTGGATTTTCTTACCCCCTACAACTTCCTGACAGGAGGGTGGAGTCGTGGGGGGATCGGGCTCTACTCCTGGGGAGCCAGTGACAGGATGAGAGGAAACAGCCAGGG